TCAGAGTGGAGTTCCATCAGAAAATGTTTAATAATTAAGCACACAATTTAATTTCTTTTTGAATAAATCAAATTCTCACCACACTGCAAGACCTGTGCCTCTGTCTGACTAATGACCCCTCAGGGGCTCATTAGGAATTATGACAAATGTAGTTAAAGTCATACAGAGAGCAGTATAATTAAGTTTAGTGTGTCCGTGGGTTTAAAATTTTCAGTGTTGCATGTTATATTAGGAGTGCTGGTATTCTCCTATAATTAATTTTTTCTGTTAATATTATTATTCTTATTCGTATTATTATGGGATATTTGTATGTGTTGTGTCTTGCATCAGTGAAATAACTGGAAGAGAAGAGAAGAGAAGAGAAGAGGCCTCGGTGTTTCAGATGTTTTTTTCTCCTACCTGAAACACGGGCTTCTGCAGCCCGTCTCCTATCCCGTGCCGGGTGTAGATGTGCCGGGACATTTCAGCCAGTTCATCGGTCCAGGGCGGAGGCTGACGCTCGTTGCCGCTCCACTGGAACTGCGGCTCCGGTGGCGGACAGTGAATCGCAGGCTCCAGCTTTGCTTCGGTTCACGACAACAGAAGAGAAGAAGACGGTACCGGCTGTTGAGTTCCGTTCCCCGCTGAAGATGCGTCCTACCTCTGCAGCAGATCTGCACAGCTGAAGCCCGTGTATACTGTAGATACTAACCCTCCCCCTCCACTCCCCTCACACTGGACCAGAGTAGTGCTGCGTTCACGGACAACTCAGAACCTCAGAATTTCAGCTTTGCAGCTTGAGATGCATAGATAAACAACAAACAGGAAAATCAAAGTATTTTCTTAAGAAGTAGACATCGACCTAAAACTTGGTTTGAGTGAAATGTTGTACTAGTCCATACGTGAGAACTTACTTCAACTTCAACTTCTAAAGTTTAGCAGCTAATGCTAAACTAGCATTAGCAGGCCGGCATTAGCTGTTGTAGTTCTAAAGTTTTTGCTTCATACGGCTAGCGAAACTTTTAAGATTTGGACATTATAAGGCTAGCATTAGCTGCCACGTTGGTAAATTTCAAGGGTAACATTTGCTAACCTTTGGATCTTATAATTACAAAGCTCCAGCTCCCGGTAACCTCTGATGAATATTACAAGCCTACCTTTAGCTAATAACTCTTAGACGAAGGCTAGCATTAATAAACATTACACATTGTTGCAGATTACATTAGCTGCTAATTTCGGTCCTCATAAATTTAATAGTAGGATAAAATAAAAAAAAATCTCACTGATGTGTAATTAACAGGTGGGGACAGACATGGTTGAGTGTTTACAAAATGCAGAGACCAAGAAGCGGTTCCGGCCTTGGGGACGAGATGATGACGTACCAGACCTTCACCTTATTTCAGGCCACGCCATCGAATCTCCCACCTGTAAATCTCTCTAGCATAAGGTGTGTTGTATATCATCTAAATTTGTATTCATGCACAACCCGTTTTGACAGAAAAAGTGTGAAATGTCATTAAATGCACATTTACAGTGACCTCTCTCTGTGTAGTGTGTGGTTGCATGATTATGAGATTATTATGAAGAGTTAGGGTAAGCGTAGACGTGTCGTGATGTTGGATGTTGGACTTTACGAGGAGCGTTTGAAGGCAACGTAAACACTTCTTCACTGTACTGGCCATAGAGATGTTATTATGTGATAAGAAAAAAAAACGTCATTAATCATCAAATACTGTCCCACTACAACAACTGTAGGCTATGAAGAAATCCAAACAAAATCCCAAAAGAAGGGGAATGGTATGAATATCAAACAGTTCCTATGATGATGATTGGTAACTAAAAATTACCTTTATGGTAAATAGAACATAATTTAATATATACAAAATATATTTACAAATTTTTAGATACATTTGTAGCCAAACACAATCAGTTTTGACCAATTTAGTGCTGTATTCTTCACTTAAAAATAAAACAGGCCAGTTTTATCTCAGCAAACCCACCAGGACAAACAACAGACGATAAAATCTCAGTTATCCTCAGCAGACCGAGTTACCAGCTGTGCTGTTTTCAGACAATCCTGCTGGAGGACTGTGGAAAGCCTTTGCATTGTGTATGTAGCCTGGAGAACAGCCTGTGGTGTCTGGCCTTGAACATTTAATTTAGTTAATTTAGTTTTTACCCCCACTTTGCCACCAGAATAACACTGGCATTCAAAGGATCTCCAGTGCATCTATTTGGGAAGAAAAGAGCAGAAACTATAAAAAGACCACGTTAGATGAACAAACCATGTCTTCTGGGTAATGATCATTTTATTGGTTTATTCATCATGCTCAGCTGGTGACGTGTGCAGGGAATAGGAGAAGCTAATTAGGTGGACAGTTACTATTTTAATCATGTTCATTTTAATTGTATAAATGTAATTACTTCAAGGCATCCAAAGGAAACGTAGGAGAAAAAAAACACCACTCATCAACACAGGTCATTTTTTTTATTTCAAAGAATATTTATATGTTTGCTCTGTTACAAAAGCAGTTTCAAAATTCTAGATAGAGGAATTTTTCCTGGAATATTTTAAATATACAGAATTATACATATCGAGCGGATTCTGAGACTGAAGTTACTCGCCAAAGCTGTATCCGTGTCATTCTTTGATTTCTACAGAAAAACAAGGCATCCAGTGGTAAATAAATGTTTACAAAGCTAAGGTGCAAAGTCAATGCCACTGACAAAACCAGGTATTTTACAATCTAATATACAGTGCCTTTAATATGAGGCGCATAAAGGAAATATAGACAGTTCTGGCTAAAATTACAACTACGGAGCCACTGCAACAGAACTGTCGATTCTATGAAAGCCGCTCCTTAATTTTAACCCAAAATGTGAAGAAATAACAACAGTAGGTTAAAAACAAGTCTCACTTCGCTTTCTTCATATTAACAAGAACAAACGATTTCTGAACCTTTTCAAAATTTTGTTCCATTTACATTTTGCCTCGACATTAAAAGTAAAAGCAACAATCATAAGTAGAAACAATCATTACACATTCCGCAACCATGTAAATTACACACAAATGACGCCTCAATATATATAAATCAAAATACAGGCAACATCATTGGCCAGTTTGAAATTTAAGTATATTGACATGAAACATCTCAGTATTGTGCACTTGCATAAAACATAGACTCCTAACAGATGATGCTAAATGGAAGAGACCCCACAGATGAAGATTAGAGGCAGGAAGGTACAGATGTAATAATCATGAACAGATGCGTCATTTCATCAGATTGATAAACACATAAAGATCCAACTAACTACTTCTCAGTTCCTCCTAAAATCTGACGATCCTCTCAAAAATCAGTGTCATTTTACGAGCAAGCCCTCAAGACAGATACAAGCACGCAGAAAAAAAACATACCTGTGCACACATACATAGACAGACACACACACACACACACACACACACACACACACACACACACACAAAATGTCATCTTAAATATCTCAAACGCAACCACAGAATGCATTACAAGGCAGTGAGTTTATGGGAAAGCAAAGTTTAAACCATTTACACAAATCTAACTGTTAACATAACAGATCGGCTACAGTCATGAATGCTGGTGAGGGAGAAAAATAGTGAAGCTCCTGGCTTTTAAATAACTGCACACTGCGAGCACCTGCGACCTGTCCCCACAGATTTAATAAGTGCTGACTTTGCAGAAACACGAGCTCCCACATGAGCCCAGAATGTTTCAGTCATTCGGTGCAAACAGCACCAAAGGACAAAGAGATAGTCAGATTACACTGTACCTGCCTTCAGAGGAGTTCACCTACACGTTTAAAAACATAGATGGTAATTAAAAACTAAAAGAGAAATAACATTTTTAGGCCATGTTCACATTAACGCAGATAATTGACTCTATTTATTCTTTATATGGATGGGTTAGATTGTAGGAATGAATTGCCCTTCAGGGATTAATAAAGTATTCTGAAACTGAATCTGAGATAAATTGGAAAACGCCACTGAGGTGTTTCATGGTGTTCAACCCACACTAGCGTATCCCAGCATAACAGCTCGGTCTTCCTTGTCCACACTACACCGCGAGTCTGATGTTTCCCATTCTACTGACTTCGCAAAACGCACTTGAAAAAGTGCGTTTTTGTCGGCACTGCAGGCTGTCGATACCCGACACGTTTCAGCCGTGTTTGTCGGCCTTCTGTCTCACAAGCACCTGACAGAACAGATATGCTTCAGTTTTGATCAATACACCGGCCTAAATCAGCCATGTGTAAAGGCTCGAGTGAAGGCTCGCGTTTTACTTTCAGAGAAATGTCTTGGTCTATTTTATTCTGACTTGTGCATGAAATTACATTGATCTTGCATTAGGCTATGCTGGGTGCCAAAACACATCTAGTTCACAGTCGTACTGTGGCTGAAAACGTCCGGTGTTGGACCTTGACGGAGGACTGCACGGCCACTCTAAAGAAGATCGTGTGAACAGAAGGCCAGAGAGAAAAAGAAGCATTTTTTTTCACATTTATCTACATTAGTGTGGACATGGTCTGAGCCTCTGTTACTTCAGAAGATGACATGTTGCATGGACAACCCAGCAATAGTTTATATGCGAGTAGTATTGTGTTGAACAGTCGATTGTGATATGCTCATTTCCATAAATTAGAAAAATAATGGCTCACTGGCTGTGCTGATGAGCAAACCCAACTCTTCTTCTGTGTTGACCTGTGACGTTTGTGAAAACCAGCGCCGCTTTCAGTCAACCCGGAAAAAAGAAGTAGAGGACAGGAGGAAAAAAAAAAAAAAAAAAAACCCCTGGCGCCATGTTTAGCCCCGCATCCAGTAGCCGAGTCCTGATTCAGTTGCACGGCAGACCTGCGTTATACACACACACCTCGGTTATTTCAACTCTTCTGGGGTGTGTTCAGTCCAACGCGACAGGCACAAAAACAGCCAAAGGAATGATCCTGAAGCAGTTAACAAACACACACACACACACGACACCCACAAACACACACACACACACACACACACACACACACACACACACAGTAAGCCAAATGAACACACAGCCAGCAACTGAAATATCTGAGGTGTGAATTCGTGTCAGGTCTGCTGTCAGTTGGAGTTTTACAGCAGAGGCTGTTGATAATACACGGCCTGCTGCTGCTGAGGAGCCTGGTGAGGTGGAGCAGCCACAGGATAGGACACAGGAGGCATGCTAGGGTTGTGATAGGTCGACATGTCCATGGCCACGCCCGCCTGGGGTGGGTAAGAAGCTCCAGCAGCTTGGTTGATGTACTGAGTGTTTATAGCACTGCTGTGAAGAAAATAAAGATGTGACACTTAGTACCAACAGAAAATATGGAAACCGAGTCTCAACATGTGAAAATGATAATCTCTTCTCTCCGTTTGCATGACAAAAGGCACTATATTCAAAATGATACACAATGCAATTAAACCAGCTATACAATAAAATCCAGGGCTGAAAATTGCTCAATCCTCTAGAATCCTTCAGTGAAACACTCTTGTGATGATTTCAAGTTACTCCTCATTAAAATCAAACTAAATTTGCTGAATGTTTTTGTTTTTCTGATCTAACAGAATAATAACACAGTTCATTGCACTAAACAACATTTGCCATAATGTGGCATATGCAGTTATTGCAAAATTATTCAAATTAACATCATGATACTAATTTCAGCCCTAATACAATCAATATTAGATTTAAAGCTACATCCAGCTTGAGGACGCTGTGACTTTCTCTGTGACACGCTCCAGGAATAAATATGATGAGGATCAGACAAAGTAATCAGTGTTAACAAGCACTGGTACCTGTACACCAATCATTCATCCTTTTTTTCCTGCTCATGTGCTTATATCTCTTTTTTTGGATAAGTGACAAAAAAGCCACTTTTATAGTCTTTGAAAAGAAGCTGAATAAGCGGAGAGGTGGAGAAAGCAACTGTACATAAAAGGCAAGCTGTGTTAAGCTTTTGCAGGACTGTTTACAGGAACATGGATCACTTTGTTTTTTATTATTTCTTGAATGTTGATTATAGACTGACTCACATTAAAATATTACCCAGTAGTGACAGTCACTGGTTATACTGGCTGCATACTGCTGCTTCAATTTCATATGATTGTTCAAGAGGATGGGTTATTATGTTAGTTGCGATTTCCTGCGTGGGAAATTGATTTACATGATGCTATTCCCCCCAAAAGCAACAAAACATACTTTATTATTATAATGAATAGTTATGCAAAAACAACTTTGTGTTAATCCCATTTGGGAAGCCAGTTCCAATTTACTTCATTTGTCACGGGTTTTTCTCTAATATGACGACTTAATACATAATCAATGTCACTGACCATTTTTACCCTACACTTCAATTTTACCCTAAACTTACTACACACACAGTAGTAAAAACACTATTTCATAAAACCTTGTAAAATGACCACCTCTCTCTATGTCCTCTTATCTTCCCATTATTCAAAACTAGTATCTTGTTAATGCCAAAGGTGTGACGTGTTCCGCCAGCTTTATTGGTCACATGACATGAACTTTGTCATTATTTGTCTATGGAGTGTCTCTGCAGCGTTCCCTCTCTGACAGCCGTACAAGGGCTGCTTCCTTACCTCATGTAGGGAGGTTGAACAGCTTGGCTGTTGGGTGGGGCGGAGACGTTGGGGGGCAGTGAATGCAGTTGTCCGGCCTGGTCGCTGGGCAGATTGTAAGGCTGTGTGGCAGGAACCTGGGGCATCGCTGGAGGCAGATAGGGAGCGCCGGCTGGCCCCATGTAGCCCTGAGCAGACAAGAGGGAAGGACGGTTTTAAAATACAGTTCTTCCTCATTCAGAAGGTGTAGAAAGGCTGTGCTGTCAATTATTCACCAGTGATCAACAGATCGAGAGTAACGAGGGAACCAAGTGTCAAAAATAACTTGGCATCATTAACATTAATCAGTGTGTTAAGGAAAGGATAAAATAGCCAGCCTCTAGAATAAAGGATGCTGCACCTCCAACACAGAAATTTCAGAATAAAAGTACACAAAAAACAAACTACCAAGCAAACAATCATACAGCAGAGAAATAAATGGTATTTAAAATGAATAGTATTATTAGATTTCATCCCTGGAGTTATTTCTTGGCTGGATACAGTGACTTCAGACTCAAGAGAGACAGTAGGAAGTCACTGTGCCCGACCAAGAAATAGTCTGGAACATGTTGTAAAACCACAACATGTTGTTTATTTTGTTTGTTTTTTCCAGGTTAAACAAATTAGACGTAATGTGCTATTTAGTGAGCTTCAGCAGTGCGGGCAAGTGCATGTTGTCCAGCCAGGGTAGCCATTTTACCCTGTTTCCAGTCTTTATGCTAAGCTAATGGTTGCTTTATATTTAACATACAGACATGACAGTGGTATCTCTCTACCTCTTGGCAAGAAAACAAATAAGTGTATTTCCCAGATGTTAAACTCTTCCTAAACCTGGAGTAAAATTACAATATTATAAAATTCAACCCCCTCAGATGCAAGTTTATAAATCCACAGAATTTCTTTCCATTTCCTCAGAAAGTTAACATCATCTCCCCGTCTCTAGGTCGACCCTGGCAATACTAATAAAAGAGAAGTCCATCACTGAATGTCTGTTCACCATAAAAATATCTGGCTACTGGGAGTTAGATACAGAATGAGAGATACACAACACTGATGGGTGAAGTGTAGATTAATCCAGTAAGGTGCTGTTGCTGTATTATTTTTAACACATTCAAAAGATGACAGAGCACAGCTGCTGCTTTGGAAGATGATATAAATATGAAAAGTATCAGGATTTTATTTTTGTAATTTCAAGTACTCATGTGTGACAGAAGAACAACCTGGCAGTGCTGTGCAAAAACAAAAAATGATGAAGGGTTAAAAGAAAAGAAAAACAAGAGCTGCACTCTGGTGGTGGCCTGCCCAGTGAAGTGGACATTTTTCCAAATCTCCGGGGAGAGACAGTGACATCAGTCATTAGAGAAAACAGCCACTACCAAGGAAACCCAGCAGCCTGCGACTCTCCAGGGAGGAAAAAAAAAAAGGCTGACTGAATGTCAAACTATCGAGTCCAAGAAGCAAAACCAAGACAAACACACCAAACTAGGGTGTAAGAAACACAACATGAGAATAAAAATTTAAAGTATAATCACTTGACTGCTCTGAATGATTTTCCTCTACATTCGTCCTCTGTTATCCCCATGAGAAAGAAAAAAAACATCAGATCGAGAGATCAATAGAATCAATAGAGAAGAGTGGGAGTCTACACAGTGTCGACACTCAATTACGCACAGTAATCGCGGGTGGGTATGCTGGTAGTTAACACACTCTAACACTCTAACAGAGAAAATGTCCAGATTTGAATCCTCTATCTATTTGAATCCACCCTCAAATTCTGTATGACTCTTTATTGACTCAGCGCGCTTCACAGGTCAGAGAGAAAATGATTACAGTGCACCCGCAAGACTCCTGAATGATTTGTTTTGGTGACCAAGCACGCCTGAGTGCAGTGTATTAATCCTAAAGAGAAATTAAGGACATTCATTTGCAAGCCTCAATTCAGCATCATGCTCATAATTGATCTGTCTTTTAGACTGGAGACACAACTACCTACAGTTTCTGCGGTTCAGTTAACTTGAACACTTTCCCAACCATCCACTGCAACTTTTTGGATTTCGTCAAATCCAAAACAAAATTCTTACCTAAGTGTCTTAAACCAGCCCTCATCTTGATTACTTTATGATCGATGCCCATGTAAACTCTATTTATCACATGAACCTGCCCCCCCCCTTGTCATTTTGTGCTTTGTCTTATGCCCTTTTCATTTGGTTGTGTTCTGCTGTTTTGTGATTGATTTACTGATTCGCAGGCGTGTCGTTTCAACGTCCTTAGAGACAGCGAGTCCCTCATTCTGATAAAAGCTGCATAAATGAAATATTTAAATGAACAAGGATTAAATCATTCTGAAGGTGAGGTTTCGAGGGGAAGGTTTAGTGCATTTTTCTCACCTGCATGGCCACAGCTGAGCCGGCTGGCGCATACTGCTGCTGCATCTTGGAGTAGGACGAGTAGAACGGAGCCTCGTTCATGAGCTTGTTGTAAAGCTCCAGGGCCTCCAAAACTTTCACATTCAGCTCTGACAACTCTGAGTGCTTCCTGCAACACAGAGAGAGGCATTAGTAGAACGGTCCTATTGGAGTATAGCTTTTCTTTTACTTCTTACACCAGCATGGTCCTCTGAAGTCTCGACAAGTCTCGCTATCTTTATCTTAAGCCTCACAGCAGCTCGAATAGATGTTAGATAATGACAGACACCTAGCTGCGAATTTAACGAATCAGTATAATTCTGATAATCATAGTAGTAATAGTTCACATCTATGACACAGTACCTGTCAATCTCCTCCAGCTTCTCATCAATCATCGGGTTCATCTGTTCACATGCGCCTGTTCAATCAGATATTTACAGTTAGGGAGAGTCACAGAAACAGAGTTAGGAAACAGCAGTATAGCTCAGACCCACTGCAGTTGTCACAGGCAGAGCGACTAAATTTACACCAGCATTAAGGTTTATACCCTCCAGCTGGAGCAGCTCTAGGGAGTCCGGAGCCGGATCTGCAGGGTCTGCATTCTGCAGCAGTGCCAACGTCCTGTCCATCTTCCCCTGCAGACAGAAGGGAGCAGGTTTGGGTCGGTGGTTTGATTGAGAGGTTATTTGGGTTTGGAAATTAATGTTCACTGAGGAAATGTAGTACCTCGTCTATGAAGACAGGCTCGGGCTCAACTTTGGGTTCCAGGCTTGTCTCCTCAGGGGTGGCTGTCTTTTCAACACAAGTCACTGTAGAGGAAAAGGTAAAGTTCGATCAGTTCTGAAACTAATTTCCTCCAAGTTGAAATCAGACAGCTGAAGTGGATAAAGCGTTCTAAAAAGGTACAGAACTTAGGCCAGAAAAAACAGAGTGTGTGAAGCTGAAGGGACAATAATGTTCATTTTCCGATACTGTAAAAAAAAAAATACCTACCCGTCTCTGGCTCAGCATTCAGATTGGTTGTGACAAAGTTGGAGGGGAAAAGTCCCACTCCTCTGTGGTTCTCTCCTTTCCACCAGTTTGGATCGCTGTAAACAAAACCATGAAACAGGAACAAACATCAATGCATGAGCCACACTGAGCGTCTGGCTAAGGTTCACACCAGTCACAGCCATCACCATATAAAATGTTGGATTAAATAAAAATGAATTTTCAACTTATCATATCTGGGGCTGCTCTGCTAAAGTCAGTTATTAAATCGGTTATACAGAGCTTTTTCAGGATATTAAAAATCTGTGAGTGTGTTCCTGGCTTTATTTGTGGAACAGACTTTGCCCGGGTATTTTAATAAATCTACAGTATGTGGAGCACATTCACACTGTAAATCAGGAGGGCTGTATAAAGTGATGTGTTCTTTTAAGTAAACAAGAGCATAAATTAATACTTTATTTTTTACAGATGTTGGCTATAACGACCAACAAGAGGAAATCTGAGTTGATCATATCACTCAACAAAAAAAAAAAAAAAACGATTTACCTCCTGTATTAAAATTCTGGGAGAATGTTAAGATTCATATTTCTTGATGCATCTTGCACATGGCAAACAAACCTTGGGACATTATGAGGTGTCTAAAAGTGGGATTTATTGCACAGGTCTTATATTGGATGCATGTAGCTGAAGAGGTAAATAAAACATGCTATGATGCATGTCTGCATTTCACAGTCTGAACAGTCTGCCACACCAGTGACCTTTTACTCTAAAACTATTTTTTTACTATTAACTATTATTATGTATTTTTGAGGATAAAGCGGAGCTGACTCCTGATTGGACGCGCTCTGAAACCATACCTGTCATCCAAAACCAGAATAACTTCTCCGGTTTTGAAGGTCAACTCATTATCTTCGGCCGCTTCAAAGTCGTACAGCGCTCGCACCTTCCGGACCTCCTGCCCCCCTCCACCATTGGTGTAGTTTGGGGGGTCGGAGGTCACGGTCAGGGGCCGTGTCTCTGCCTGCTGCTTCTGCTCCTGCAAGGACAGCTCGATGGCTGCAGGAGTGAACAGAGCGGCGCGAACAGAAGAGAAGTGGAAAGGAGAAATGAGTATTTGTCAAATGTCCAACACATATGGGCTTGGCACAGACACGGGATTCATCACTTATTTATTTTATTTTTATTTCAAGAATAGAAACCGTTCTCAGAAGAGTGATTAAAGGAAGCACAACAACCCTTTGAAGTATGGGAACGTGAAATCTAGTCGATAATCAATTTACACTGTTCTACAATTTATAAAAAGGAGTATTTTTCTGAATATTGGTGCAAACTGAAAATAATTAGCCTCAATACACAGCACAGTAGTTGGAAATTCTGTATCTGTTGTAGAAAAATGATGCTTACATAAGGATGAGTGTAGAGCTGAATCATGGCATTTCACTTTACCTTTGGCCAGGTCGTCATCATCCAGTGCTTTGCTCGCAGCAGGTGTGCTGACCTTTGTGGTAGACCCCTGTGGTCAATATAGAAAAATAAGGTCACGTCTGTGTGTGTATGTGTGTGTGTGTGTGTGTGTCTGTATACATACAGCAGGGAGTGAGACTGACAGATTTAAGACTACAAGTGAAAAACTGATTTCCAGTGGCTGCAGTGCCACCTGCAGTTCATGCTGGGGACTACACATTGGTCAGAAATGTGGCTCTGGCCTTCAGACAGAAACACTCCACACAGCTGTCCCATTACTTTTTTGTCCAGGGTGACATGAAGCAGCTCTCATGACATGATGATAAGGTCAAAGTAGACGAAACAGGTCAACTGGACATCACTGCCAGCTAAACAATAACTCTTGACAGTCAAATATTCACAGTGGGTGAGCTAAAGCTTAATACTGTCTGTTGGTGGAATGGAAAGTATTACAAAGGCTGCTTCAGTACAGTGTAAAGAAAATCTAACATCCCAGGAGATTTACAGATTTACAGGGTGCTGAATGCAAACTGTCATTTACAGGGAATTCACTCACTTTTGGATCCTTCTAACAACTACACTGACATCAGTGTTTGACTAAGTGTGGATTTTATTGTGGCTGAAAAAAAGCCAAGGTAGAGTCTAAAAAGATTTTTAAGTTTTAAAACAAGGGAAAAAAACATATGCTCCCTGAACCAGGCCAGACTTATAGATGAAAATGTTTTTTATATGTTATAGTGCCCAAGAGCCCAAAAGTATCAACTGCAATTGCCTTAAACCCACTGGTAATAATCAGAGAATTACAGAGCACCAGTAAATACACAAGTAACAGATGTGAGGAGGCAAGTGTGAGTAAAGCATAGAAACAGTTGAAAGTGTGATCTGTAGGTGGACATTAAAACTGAGCGACCAGCAGTGACAGTTTGTGCCGATTGGGTGGAGTTGTCATTCCACATGAAACTAGCGCACACACCTGCTCATGCCACTTATGATGACTCTAACAGACTGTGCAGCCAGAAAACTAAATGCAACGTGTACCAACTGGCAGGTAAACAACAGGGACCGGGAGACTCATTTGTTTTACATGGCTTGATAGCAATCCAATCCAAACATGCTGGAAAGCATCCTGTCTAAAGAATGACCTTAAAGTGCAGTGGGAAAAATCGCTAAAGGTAAATGCTAGGAAGCAATGCCACAGCTTGAGTCACATTACCTGCTGCTGTTTGCACATCAGCTGATGGAGATTAAATGTCATACCTGCTGCCATTTGTGCCACCTGCTCTCCATTAGAGCAGGTTTCCCAGCCCTTCCCACAACACAATAGGCAGCACACCGCCACCGCCAAACGTAAGACAGTGAGAATAAGAGAGCAAATTAAATTCCATGTTCTGACTTGTCTGTTTATACTGTAAACGGATCAAATTCAGTGGCCACTTCCTCAGATACACCTCCAAAAACCAATGAAATCCAATCAACATAATGCAGTCCAGTTCAACACCGATGCAAACGACGACCTCAATAATAAACATATAGTTAAATTTATACCTCTCTGACAGTGTCAATCAAAACTGGACATTATTATCTTTGAGAAGGTAGAACGTTACACATTGCACTAACAGAAGTAGCTACTGAGTGTATTTATCTACATTAAAAGGTGGGTGAACAAACTGATCTGCAGTGTGAATGAACCCCAGTCTTCTCCACCTGCATCAGAACCTGCTCTCCCTGTTATTCAGCCAGATTCACACAGGGACCTTGTTTATTATTTACCTGTAAAGAGGGAACCAGGGCTCGTGCATGCTAGTAAATTTGTTTTAAACAAATTCAGTGCACAGAAAAATTTGACTGCAAGTATGAGAAAAAAGAAAGATGAAGAATGTATCATGAATCTCGACGGACGCAGTTTGTGGTCATGTTTAACTTATTCATTTGTCTTTTCACTTTCTAAATAAACTCTTGAAAGGGACAAATTCAGATCATTCAACATCTAAAGAAGCAAACACAAAACACAGAACAAACGCTGTCAGCCCCAGAGAGGATATTAAAATATCACAGCTGATATAATTGTAGGTCAAATGCTTTACAACAACCTGAGAGCAAGGTCCACTTCAACCGCTGACACAGATAAGGTTGTGACATAAAGAATCACACAGCCATCACACAGACAATAGAACAGAAACCATAAGGGGCAGCTCTGTCCACTCCAATCAGAGAAGTCCTGACCTTGGGACATACACGCACAAATATCCACGGAATTATGTGAAATATGTGAAGAGGAAATTCCACTGTAAGCTCCTGCCATACAAACACAGACAGACGCGCTCCACCCGAGCTGTACCTTCACACTCGTAAGACAGCGGTCTGCAGGGAAACCATAATAACAGCCTGGAGCGAGACAACAAGTATCCACACACACTTATTAAGTTGTTATCATGCATGTGGACTGCTGTAACCATAATTGGTGGGGGGCAGGGGGCAGGGGGGTGGGGGGTGGAGTGATGGCTGCTGACACATCACATCTGTTGGATGACAGTCAAGTCAAGAGAGACTGTTACACATCAGCTGGGTTTAATGCTGCGAAATCTGACTATGGCTGAAATGTTTTCCTCGCCAACAGCCACTTTCTTCACTGAGTTGGTGAAGAAAGTGGCTTGTTGTGTTGCTGTTCAAGACGCTTTGTCATAGTTTAGTCTGTAAATGGGAGGCATCTTGGATTAGTTTCAAAGTCGGACATTTTAAGCCTGGGAGTGTTAGACAGGGAACCAGAAGTCTTTTAAAAGACTCAGATGAACTTCAGTGTCGATGTGTCGTCGATTGTTGCTGTACATGAAATTAGTCTGTGCTGTCCATGGAAGTTAAAAGAAGATGGGGAAGATTGGGGAATACTGTGTTGTGCGAGTGTTGCAACTGTTCGTTGTTTGTGTTCGTCAGGGAAAAGTTACCTCACCTTTCTTCGCGTTTGTTCTCAAAATCAGACATTCGGATTCTGCATTACGTCAACATACCTGTGAGGATGTGGAGGGGAAAGTGATGCCCTCCTCTTTCAGAGACTTGATGGTGGCGCCGATTAGACTGAGCTGCGGATCCTTCTGGAAGTCTTCCGCCCACTCCACCATCAGAGCCTTTAGCTTTTCACACACCTTAGGGTGGGCCTTCAAGAGACAAGCAAAGAAACAGCTGTGTAGCTCTCTCCAGTGTGTTTATGCCAGAAGGAGACTGCAAATACCTCTTTACTCATCATGATTCAATCTGTGACATTTCAGTTAACCTGCTTCAGAGTGCGAGGGATCGCACATGTGAGAATGACACTTATCGAGAGCGTACAAAGAGGTGATGGACAGGTATGGCTATAAAATAGGGAATCATGAGAACATACCCTGCTGAGCACACTCCGTACTTCACTGGCAAACTCCCTTGAACAGATTTCCAAGTGGAATATTTTTCCACAGTTTGACACACAAGCACCCAGCAGCTGCAAGAAGAAGTTGAAATTGTAAAAATGAGATTAAACAGCTGGTATATACTATATTATAGCAACAAAAACAAAATGCATTTCTACCAAGGAGGGGATCATTTCTACCACTCACATTGCTGAATTATTCAAATCACATATTAATAGCAGGTGTTGCTTTTGTGATTACAAATGGGTCTTGATAACAACGGGGCTTTAATTGTCTGATGAGTGAACGCATGGATCTAAAAATAGAGCACGGCATGTATTTGACAGTATTTGCTCATGATGACTCAGGCAGAGAAAGATTTCTCATACTCCTCATTGGAGTTAAATCCTCCCAGTATGAGATCTTCCACTTTCCTGCATGGCTTTAACAATGGGAACATTAGATCAATTACAGCTCCACTGCAGCTTAATTACATTCGGAAATACTTACTTCTTATGTCTAAACGTGACCCTCCTCAAATCGATTGACGTTTATGTTGCTTTTTTTCTGTTGTTCAAGGAGAAATTTGTATGCTTTGGCTTTCAAATGGTTATTTTAAACATCTGCTGCAGACAGATGAAGAAAAACAGACATACGTGGGACAGGCATGGTGCTGTAGACCCATTAGTCATTTCCATTTTGGCGAAACACTGTCCATTAACACATGAACACAAGCTTTAACCCTGACAGGGTGACATTTTGAGGTTATTGTTGACGTCTTTCTTTGAGATCAATTGATCTTGTAATTACATTATTTTTGACTTCATAATGTCAATCTATGAAGCATATCCATTAAAGAATTTAATACTGACTGGATCTTGGGTCCAGAGTTTTGACCTTTGGATTTCTTCTCATCCTAGTTTCTTACTTTGGGCGTGTTATTTGAAAATCTCTAAAGATTTCGAGCAGGTTTTACTGATGATGGTCGTTATGTTGCTGTGACAATGTCATACAACGTGCAGTAGATTTCTCTATGGCGTGTCTATCCAAGATGTGTGTAGATTTGGTGGCATGACAGCACAGTAACAAACTCACATTGAGGGCCTGCATGGCAACATGAGGCACTTTGTGGTTGACTCTCTTCATGATGGATCTCAAGCTGTCCTTGGGTCTGGAACACAAGAGAACGGAACAGAATTCATTACTGGTTCAATAACTACTGAACAACAAGCACAGAGAAGCTCCCGTACAGGTCCTGATGATGTGTAGCCTACACTATTTTTCAAATTCAAGGTCTCATACAAATGTGATGTACTTAAATAGGCAACTACTTAGACCACAGTGCTGCTCAATTACTAATGAGCTCTTGTTATCAAAAGGAAAATGCTTTCTTTCCCAGCTTACCCATTGGTTGTTGTCCCAATCTTATCGCAGATGTCCATAATGAGCCCCCAGTCGTCGGTTGTGTTGTTTTCATTGGTTGACTTCTCTGGAAATATGTTAAATAGGGATAGAGTGCATATGGTCCTGTGAGAAAATATCTGCACTGGCATCACTTCAGACATTATGTATTCGTGGGAAGACATGCCAGTGGCAGTGGGCAAGTTCTACAGTGATGAGTAGCAAGTGTCGAACTGCCACATTTTAGAACTGGTTAATGTTGCCTGTCTGTCTAAAGCTCGAAAAAATATCTTGGAGGGACCCCAAGCCCCCTACTGTTCCCAGCTGTTTTATAGTGTGAACTTGCAGGGTTTCTCCAGGGAAATGTTCTGTTTTGTAATGATAAGCCACCCAATCTTAAAGCATTTTAACTTGTGATCAGGTTAAACAACAGCCACACTAATCAAATGGCATGAGATTTTCTGTGTTGAAAAGCTCTAATTCTCTATTTTCCCTAAAAGCTAATGTTAGATAGTAGCGGAGGTGGTTTTCTTGTCAGCTGAGGTAACCCACTGCTGCTTTGAAATATGTAAGCAGGAAATGACTCATGGTTCAGCTCATGGTTAACCCTGTCAAGACACTCATCATCCTGACCATGTAACACTCAGGGTGCAAGTTAAGTGTAACAGTGCACGATTGTCTGGTCATACAAGAACTGTGGTGTTGCAGGGAGCGATAAGGTTGGTGACATGGGAACTTTGCATAAAATGTACATGACAAGACTGTGAGAAAAGACTCAACACAAATGAGCATGCTCACACGTTCTAATCAAACTGACTCATGGCAGCGAAGATTTTAACTAGTTCATTAATCAATCAACCATTACCGAATATTAATTATAAAATAAAAATAGATTAACCAACCAACCAACAAATTCAGTTTTCATCTGACATTTGATTAGGACTGCAAGTAATCTTTACCTTTATTATCAATTAATCTGCTGGTAATTTTTTTCAATAAATCTATTAATCATTTAGTTTAGAAAATTATCTACTCAACTTCAAATGTCTAATTTTATCTTACCAACTGTGAAAAATGCCCGAGATATTCAATTAACAGGAAATAATATTTGACAGGCTGAATTGGATTTTTTTTTAAACCAGTTATCAAAATAGTTGCCGCATAATTTTCCTTCAACTGACAACTTCATTAATGCACCAATCATTTCAGCTTTCTTCTGATATTTAATTAGGCTGTAAAAAACAATTGTGTTTATTAACAATTAATCTGAAGGTAATTTTCCTGATTAATTAATTAATCATTTAGATTACATATCATTGCAAACTGAATATCTACAGGGTGTGGACTGTTTAATATAAACTGCGCTGAGCTTTTTCACCATTTACAAGTATCTTATACATTTACTGATTAATCAAGATTTAAAATAACGTTAATTTCTGATCTAATTTTAAGGATTATCTCACTAAAAAAACAATATGACCTGATTTCACATCATGTGATCCTGTACTTTCGCCAGTCACGGTTTATATGAATCAGACTTAAAGTTGGTTACAAAGCAGTCGCTTATCCTGGCTAATCAAGTGATCGATAAACTAAGTGGAAGTTGTTGACAACCTGTCGGCTTGAGAGCTATACATAAACAAAGTGAGACTGAGACTTGTGGAGGTTGTTGTTACCAAACACTGTGATGAATAAAATAAAGAACTGAAGCTAAGCTAACGTTAGCTCCAAGTGTTGTTGGCCCTGTCGTTAGCTACCTCTGACACAGTGAAAACAACAAAGAAACACCACTTCACTTACCAACATCTTGGTCGAATGGATTTTGGGCAAATAAAGGCATGCTAGCGATTTAAAAAGGATCGGACTATTTGACGAAAGAAAGTGTGTGTTCTGTAAACTAACGTTTAACCTAAACAAATATCTCTTCCCTGTCCATTAAACTCGCACCAGTTGCTCTTCCGGAAACTTGGCTGCCTTCAATAGTGCCTGAACAATATCTTTAAACCCCGGAGTGTAGAGGGGAAAATACGTTTTTTTTAATGTTATGTTTAGTACTTTAAAAACAATTAAATAGTTTTTAAATTACTAAAACTACAGCAGGTTTACATAAAATCATAAAAAATATCCTAAACAGTACTTGGCACTTGACTATAATACCTCTGTTTATACAGGTTTATATAAGTGAAATACTGACATCTAGTGGGGAAAAGAGGGAAATGGGAAATTTCATGCTGTCACAAAGTATTGGTTCTACCTCAGTGTATTAGATTTGAAATTAAACTGTGGCTATACATCTAAAGTTATCACTTTCAGCCTTAGATAGAGGGGGGTGTACATCCATATTTGTTCAACAGTGTACACCTTGTAGATCCTCTACGCACTCACCCAATTTAGAAAAATGCAGCAGGATAATGAGCATGAACATACAAACAAGGCAACCAATAAGATTTTTTTTTTTTTTTGAAGTGAAATGTTCTTGACTGGCAGAGTTGGTCACTTGAACTCAATCCATATGATCATATGGTTAACTTGCTGAAGATCACCCCTGGTGACCTGAATTGTTTTCACAGTCACCAGATCTCAACCCAGTTTAACAACCACCGAAGCTGTTTTGGCTCAATACCTTACTAACATTTTCATCATTGAGATGTTTTAAGCGTCTACATTTATTAGGCTGCCACATTATTTAAAGATTCACCACTCTTCCTCAATCATTTTGGTTGGGTTAAGCCGTGCGACAACCCCTAAACCTTTTATGTTCCAACCATATAACAAACGGATCCCATCACCTCTCCCCACCACCTTTATAAATAAGAAAGAACGTTAAGCTGTACACAGCAATTAATTGTGTGTGTGTGTGTGTGTGTCTGTGTAGCGTTGTATGCATATATATAGCCTTTAATGTTCACTCAACAGCATAAGTAACCTTAATCAAATTAATAAGTTGATGAATAGCTACATACATGAATCGCAAGACTCCATAATAATTCCAGTGTTCATTGAAAATGTATTTTTAGCTAGCGGTTAAACACCGATAACAGTCATGAATTATGTTAATTATTTAGACAGTTTGTTCATTCATTTAGCTTAGCTCTCCTTAAATTGGCCGCTGCAGCCAGCACGTTTGTTCAAAACGCGCAACCTTTACTTTGAAGACGAGCTGTCTCTGTTTCCGGCTCTCGACTTCCTTGTTCAATTTTCATTGTACAAGTTGTATAATGGAACAAACTGACGCGTTGGTGCGCTGAATTGAATCGCACGTCTTCATTCAGTGGGACAATAACACACGCAAAGCGTTAACAGCGTTTGGGCAGCATCGGTTAATGAAGAACGCTCACAAACGTCAACATACATTTACACTTAGTACAAGTAGGGCAACGAAATTAGGCAATACCCCCTAAACTGGTATTTTTCATTATACAACGTGAACAACTGCAGAAGTATTATACTTTATGCACGGACCGTGTTTACATGTGTGCATGTGTGATACCGTCCACCCTCTCCAGTCTAACTTAGTCTGAGACACTAGGGGGCGCGCCTCTCAAAGAGCGGCTCTTTACGGTCAGAGGAGTTGACAAAGACTACAACCTTAGGTCAAGATAATTCCTATCCTACTAATCCTATTCAAGTCGGCGGGCACCCGAGGGACAGAATGACTACATTTTATTCACGCTACTATAAGTAGTCTAAATAGGAACCTTTAATTAATAATTAAAGTTGCACATCGAAAGGACCAAAATTTCAGGTGATATTTAAGTGAAAGCGTCTGAAAGCGAAGGCGGAATTACAGAGGAGTGAATAATTTCGCTACAGGACGACACTTCCTGGTGCGTCCCCCTCCCCAGTCTGTTTCCTGACTCGGTGAACCTGACAGCCGCCGTTGTCCGGGACCAAAGAGCGTTGAGGGTTGCAGTCATGTCGGCAGCTGCTCCGGGGACCAGCAAGGCAGCCCACAGCGATGTGGCCCCGAAGAAGAAGAAGGGACCCGGCGCCCTGGCTACGGCCTACTTGGTCATTTACAACGTTGTTATGACAGCAGGGTATGTAGCGTGTTTCCTCGTGCTAATGCTGCTCTGGTAGTGTGTGTGTGTGTGTGTGTGTGTGTGTGTGTGTGTGTGTGTGTGTGTGTGTGTGTGTGTGTGTGTGTGTGTGTGTGTATTGGGCAAGACAGGACTGAATAAATGGAGCAAGATCTCCCCGTTGTAATATTACAGCGTTATTTTTGGATTATTAATTTCGCAATGTTGTGTAGTTATTATTAGAAACACTGCTAGCTTGCAGTGAAGTGAAATAAATTTGAATTTGCTTCCCCACGTCCAACGGCTTACACAGATTAACGTTAGATGAGCAACAGACAGCCACCTGGCGTGCACTTTAATTGTGACTGACAGAACAATACAGAAATATAAGGACAGCTGGTTTATTTTCTGCGCTCAGTGGTTTTTGCTCCAGAAAGTCTGGGTTTCCATCTTGCATTGTCATGTTTTTTTTGCAGGGCAACGACCGACATTGAGTTTTATTTATTTACACAAGTTAAAATGGCAGAAATACAAATAAAACCTAATTATTTAGCAGAGGTTATTCTTTGTAAACATGCTCTGTTGGACTTGAGTTAAGTGGTAACAAAAAAGAGAAAAAATAGGACTATAACAAAAACAGTCAATTAATCGATTGACAAAAAGTTAATCTAGAACAATGTTGAGTAATTAGTTAAATTGTTTAATCAGCAAAAATGTCAAATCTTTGCAGACTCAATATAAGGGAGGATATGCTTTATTATTGTTATTTATTATTTTTTCTTTATTATTATTATTATGCTTTTATTTATTATTATTGAAAATAAATCAACAGATTAATCAATAGTGAAAGTAATTGATAATTGCAGCCCTAGGTAGGACACATGTAGCTCTGAAAATTACTAGGGGATGTTTAAAGACTAAATAACTGGTTAATAAGAAGGAATCAGTGAGTTTGTCTGCAGGTAAGACATGTCATTTTTTGTAATGTTTCCCCTTCAGAATTGTGTGTTGTACATAAAAATGTTAAATTTGCAACACATGGTGGTAAAAATGGTAAGAAGTTGAGGAGTGTTAGAGGAGTTTAGATCAATAATGATTCAGCATATTTATGTTTAACAGCATAAACTATACTATAAATTGTTCAGTATGGGTAATTAAAATTAATGACTTTGATTTGTAGTTCTAACCATGCACAAAGACTATTTGCATCATCAAAAGTCATCTAGAAATAACGCTTCTGATGAACTGCATTTTGTATTTTGAATGGTTACAATTAGATTTCTATTAAAGGAGGCTGGATTTCACAAGATGCCCATTTTATGAGGTCCATTGCCCGACCCGTTGCCTGGCCCAGATACTTATGTAAAGTAAAACCATAATTATCTTGAACCATGGACTGAAAAATCTCTGCATGTGTTTTACTGCGCTCATTTTCAGACTGTTGCACAATTGAATGGTGGGTGTTGTTTGCTCACTGTTCCAACCAGTTAGGTCACATTGTGTCCCACTCAGTGTTGATGGGCCATACAGTGATTGCTTTGTATTGAGCACAAGTTAGGGTGTTGTACATGCACGTATTTTGCTATTTGTATGCAGTGTCTGCATTCAGATGCTGCTGTAGCAGTTACTCCGGCCTGCTTAGTTTCTGCTGAACTGGCCCTATTATTGATATGATTATTAAGGCCTATTACATACAAGTCACATTCATCAGTCTGCAAAACCAAAGTGTGAACTGAAACCTCCACCTTGCTCAGGTCTGCTCTACTAGCACTCTGACAGCTTGTACCTCCACCAGCTCTGTGCTGCAGCTGACCTCTGACCTCCCTGTGGAGGAGGGCGAGCTAAGCCTGAATGGTGTAATGCAATACGTTACACTGTTATAACTTTTTGATTGTATGATGAAATCCTTATCAGGCAAAAGTTCTCCATCCATAAAATCTAGTCAGTGGGTTAAAGATTAGAGAAATTATGTCAACATTATTGGCTAACAATATAACAGTATGGTGAATATAACTGACCAATATTAGAGCATATATCTTCATTAATGTATTTTTCGGCACATGAGCAAAAATAAGTTTCCCTGCAGACATAAATTACAGGTTTAAAACAGCAATTGTTAGTTTTTTTATCTTTCTTTATTTATTGTTGTATTTGCTTGTACTATTATATTTATGTTTTTACTTATTCTTTTACTATAATCTTCTTTAAGTTTCTTGTTCAACTCTAAAATATCTGCCCTAGACATATTTTCATCACAAAATAAAATGATGGGAAATTATAATTTGTACAGTTCTCCTTATGTTTGAGCTTAACATTGTCTTAGATCTGTCATATTGCACTTCTTTTCATTACTTAATTTTTTCTTTAAACCGCACGCAAGTCGAACGCAGATTTCAGTTTCCCTCATGAGATCGTCTGGTAGATCTTAGATCTTGTTGCAGTGACTATCCTGAGATGTGTTTCCTCTGCTGTCCAGGTGGCTGGTGATAGCTGTGGGTCTGGTCAGAGCTTACCTGGCCAGAGGAAGCTACCATGGGCTGTACTACTCCATAGAGAAGCCTCTGAAGTTCTTTCAGACTGGAGCTATCCTGGAGGTGAGAGAAGCACAAAGGGCTGGGTGATGTTGACGAAATACAGTGTGTAAATATGATGTAGCAACATTTCAAAGACAACTATCATTTCTCTTATCATCACACAACATCCAGTTTATATATATATATATATGTATATATGCAGATACTGGGGGTGCAACAACCATTTGGTTTCGATTTTTAGCTATCAATTAACCTTTTGTTAAAGTGTCTCATTTAATGATTTTACAGGGCCTTTGTTCTATCAGTGGTCCAATTAGTACATTGGATCGAATGATTCGTGGAAAACAACTGTCAGGATTTTGATGTTTGTGTTCATGTCACTTAATGGATAAATGAATCGG